GTCTTAAGAGCCATCGCTTGTGCTATTTGTGACAAATATACGAAATCATTGAATCTGTCGATCCCTCCGCTGACCGGAAGTTTCATATTCTTCTCAATTAAAGCTGTGATTTCATAGTTTCCGTTCCCGTGATGTTGTCTTTGACTCATTTCAGGGGTTAATGGATATCTGAGATCAGAAGAGTTGACAGCTTTGGATAAAGTTTTCACTGAAGGGTACGATTGGAACCCATATTCTGAGGCAAACTTAGTGCTCGGATACTGTTTCCAATCCCAGGCTTCGGGCGCGTAGTAGTAGAAGTGGACGTCGCCGTAGATATTACTTTGGGGATCGTTTGACAGCCAATTGTTTTTGATTGTCTCCAAACCATTGGACGGACTCGAGGTTAGATAGGGTCGACCCAGGCTTCGGGCGCGTAGTAGTAGAAGTGGACGTCGCCGTAGATATTACTTTGGGGATCGTTTGACAGCCAATTGTTTTTGATTGTCTCCAAACCATTGGACGGACTCGAGGTTAGATAGGGTCGGGAATTGTCTTCTCTGAGCACAATCTCTCGGATGACTTCCACATAGAGTTTGATGTAATCTCTTGTATATATTTGCTGTAAAATAAAATAAAATTATAAACAGAAAGAGAAATGTTTGTAATATGAAGTAAACCCTATTCATGAAAATCTCGGGCCACCACATCTGTGCCAGCGCTGCCTCGTTCTCGTTATTCCCTAATAAATCAATTTAAAAATTTATATTTCATTTAAATTGTACAAAAATTAGTCAATTGTCATCTCAACGGACACCTACCGGCCCACAAAGCAATGGACGGATGATGTTGAAGGCGGCGGACCTGTTGTGTGATTTCAGTGTTGACTGATATGAGGAACTCATCGTTGACTGGATAGAGAGCACAGGCGAAACCCAGGCTTCGGGCGCGTAGTAGTAGAAGTGGACGTCGCCGTAGATATTACTTTGGGGATCGTTTGACAGCCAATTGTTTTTGATTGTCTCCAAACCATTGGACGGACTCGAGGTTAGATAGGGTCGAGAATTGTCTTCTCTGAGCACAATCTCTCGGATGACTTCCACATAGAGTTTGATGTAATCTCTGGTATATATTTGCTGTAAAATAAAATAAAATTATAAACAGAAAGATAAATGTTTGTAATATGAAGTAAACCCTATTCATGAAAATCTCGGGCCACCACATCTGTGCCAGCGCTGCCTCGTTCTCGTTATTCCCTAATAAATCAATTTAAAAATTAATATTTCATTTAAATTGTACACAAATTAGTCAATTGTCACGTCAACGGACACCTACCGGCCCACAAAGCAATGGACGGATGATGTTGAAGGCGGCGGACCTGTTGTGTGATTTCAGTGTTGACTGATATGAGGAACTCATCGTTGACTGGATAGAGAGCACAGGCGAACATGAAGTCGTGCCAAATAAGTACTCCCAACTCATCGGCCATCTCATAGAACTCGTCCGACTCATACACCCCTCCGCCCCAAACCCTCAACATATTCATATTGGCCTCACGAGTCGATTGCAATAAATTTCTTAAATATTCAGTAGTCAGCGACTCTTGGAAGATGTGGCCCGGTATCCAATTTGATCCCTTTGCATATAATGGCAGTCCATTTACTCTGAAATAAAATGTCAATCCTTTTGGATTTATGGGATCTTGAATCAACTCAATAGTTCTGAATCCAATTTTAATGCTTTTGTCAAAAGTTTCTTCAGTTGTGGTGAGTGCCACTCTGAGCTCGTATAGCATTTGAGATCCCATTCCGTTGGGATACCACTTGTGAATAACAATCGACTCATTCACTGGGATTTGGAGATTCATTGTTGCGCTGCCATCGGATGATGGGCTCAACTGGACACGACTTCTGTATAGAAGTGTATTATAAATGGATATTTGAAGCAATGCCTCAAAAGAACTTCTATATATAGACTCAAAATAGAGTGTAGTATTGAGAACCCATTTGTCATTATTTAGAGGAATTGTTTTGACAGAAATATCCCTAATTATGGCCGAATCGATGGCTTCGACTTCAATATTCTTCCAAATTCCTTGTGTTGGGAAAGACGGTCCCTATAATACAATTACATTAATGATGACCATTACATTGTGGTGTAACTTAATAGACTACAAACCCAATCCCAACTAAATGATGACTGCATTTTCCGGATATAATTTGCGTGGAGTTCCCCTCTCTGAACAAAAGGAGACGATTCTGTAAACAATTAATTATTTACTTATTTTGCAAATATATATTGTTTGCTAACCTGGAGGTACTATATATCGTGTGTGGATGTGCTGGTCGTGAACCTTCTTGGCGTAAGTGACGGCCGATTCAAATGAAATCCTAATTAAATTTTGTCCTAATCTTAAGTTGGGTTTTATATCGAATTTATATCGAATGAACATATTATCAGTGCTTCCGATAAAGACATCGTTTAAATATATTTTACTGATTGTGTCCAAACCGTGGCAAACAAGATATACTCCATTCTTGTTAATAACACTTTCATCGGCTTTTTTATTTAAAAAATCAAATGTTAACCAAATTAAAACAAACTAATTATTAATTTTCAAACCATTGAATATCTTCTCAAAAGTCCAGTTATCATAAGAAACCCACTTATAGTTGAAGTCATTGCTCCCATAATAAGGATCCTCTTTGAGGATATTATTTCTCATGAGATCCGTATATATAGAACCGGGAACTCTAGCCAACACTCGCAATGCTTTTCATAGGATTAACATTTTTAATAAATAAATTTAATATTAAAATTATAGTGAATTGAATGAAATTAAATTTACATCTATTTTGATTGGTAGCGAACCAGTCATTTCCATTCAGCGATACAGTGACCGATGATATGATTTGACACGATATTAGAAGTATGAAAATAATCGACAAATTCTTCATCACTTTAATATGTCATCGGATTGTAAAGCAAATGACAAACTATATCATAAATAACTGAAATTCAGTTTTAGGTTATTTACACACACAAGTCTGGATAACAAATAAAAGTCATTCAATTACTTCAATATAATGTAAATTTTATTTTTAGGCTATAATTAAACTAAAAATAAATTCGATTAAATGAAATACAGCTGAGGATAAGTTGTATATTATTTATCATATGTTTATAAGTTTAGAACAAAACCATTAAAATATGGAAAAAGTCAAAATTCAAGTCTAGCATCAAATTCACACTTTTATAATATGCACATTATAAATAATTATAATTATGATAATCTAAATAATAAAAACAATTTTATGTTTATAAATTGACATCATATTGTATTTATCTACAAACTGCATGTCACCTAAACAGGAAAATATTGAACCCATATATAAAGTTATGTTTATATTTATTGACCTTCAATTCAATCGATTAATTAAATATAAGAATTGATTTGAATGAATACTTACTATATTATCTGATAAGTGAAATCAAATGTGTGGATATTGGTAGTGAATGACACCAAATTTAATTCACTTTTGATTCAAAAACCAAAGCATTCCCTTATTAAGTAAATCATAAATATCCAATATTGTAATATTAACTTTGTAATATTATATATATATATATATATTATATTTTATATATATTTGTTATAAAAAAACTTTGTCAGTGATTACAATATTTTACATTTTCTTTAAATCATATTTAATTAAATTGTAATGTGATATAAGACGATTTATGCAAGTATAACTAAGTTAACTTTAATACAATTCTTACTAGATAAATAAATTTAAAGATCTTTACAAGTTAGATGTTTCTTTATAGTTTTGTAAAAATATTAAACATATCTATTAAAAATATCATTTGTTTAACACAATTCTGACCTCATTTTGGCTTTTAGTGTCACTGATATAAGTGAAATGTAAAATGATATGCATGTATGAAATAAATATACAGGTAATATTCCAATTGTCACTTGAGATGGCAAATGAAAAATGAATTTCAATGTCATAAAAATTATTTGTGGGAAAATGTTGAATACTGTTATTGAATCCAATTACAGCCATACATAGAATATTCTCACTACACTTGACTATACAGGTATTTGGTATACCGGTATAAATACTGTACTAACGTAGTAAGACATATAGTAAGTTAATATAGGATTTCTGTAGATCACATTAAATTGAAAATATAAATTGTATAGTTATTGTCACATATTTATTACCGTAATATGTACAAATTTATATTCAAGTGTATTTACAGTATAATTATGTAATTTATATAAATATTCAATTTAATAGAGTCTGAAATTAACATAAGAATAAATATTATAAATTATAGATAAATTTTTGCAATTATGATAACTGCACAAAAACTTGACAACATTTTT